ACACATAATAAATTTATTTTTAAAGTAATATTTAAATAAAAATATACACATATTAGTAAAATAAAATTATAAAAAAACAATTCAATAATTCATACTACATAAAAAGAAAGTGCAAATTGTAAAAAATTAATTAACATAAATATAAACTGTTTAACAGGTAACCTTGTTATTAATAAAGATTTTACAAAGGGTAAATCTAAAATTTTTTTAAAATAATCAGGTATACGTAAAATTTTAATAATATCTAATATAATATTTTCCAACCATTTTTCAATTTCTTTTGAAACATTTTGAAAAAAATGTGTTCTATAATAATGATGATCATTTGATAAAACATTGTTTATTGATAATAAGGCCTCGATGTTATTATCTTTCTCAATTATCTTATCTTTAAAAGTATTTAAAAGTTCAATTGCTGCTTCAAAATCTCTTGATTCTTGAATAATTCTTATTTGTTGTTCTTCCATTCAAAATGACAACTAAAATTGATTCACAATTAAAAAATATTATTAAACAATCTAAAAGTAAAAAAGAACTTGTAAAAAAACTATCACAAGATGATCCTGAATTTCTTATAAAATATTTTGATAATATTGAGCGGGTTGCAGAGATTATTTATAATGATAAAAAGGGAGGTATAAAACGAAAAAAACAAAATATATCTTCATCTAGTGAGGATGATTCTACTACTGAAGAAGATCAACCTCCTTTAAAAAAAACAAGAAAACCAAATATTTATAGTGAATTTGTTAAACGTGAGAGTAAAAATCTTGTAGATGTTGATAATAAAGATAAATTTAAAATTATTGCAGAAATGTGGAAGACTAGTAATGAGAATCCAAAAAATATATAAATAACACTTTTATCTATTTTTGGTTAAATTTCAAAATAAAAAATAGTTTTGATATTGTAAATGGTATAATAAATTTCGACTAAGATTAGAATTATTAGCTTTAGTATTATTTATCATTTTATTATCAATTATCATTTACTTAATTATTTTACTTCATATTAAATTTGAATTATCTTTAGATTTTATAAATATTTTGAAATATTATTATTTAAATTTTCAAAATACTTTTATTATTTTATTTCAAACATTATTTACAAAAATTATTCATATAATAAATTATTATTTACAAACTGGTATCTTCTAAGCATGTAGTAAAAAATCTACAAAAAAAATAACAAAAAAGAAGAAAAGTTTTTCAATAAAAGGAAAAGGAATTACTAAAAAAACATCATTAAAACTAACAAGAAAAAGAGATTGTCCTACCTGTGGTTGTTCAAATAGTTGAAAAAAGAAAAAAAAAGAAACAGCTAAATTCCACTACTTCAAAAAAAGTTAAAGATACATATAAAATAGGCTTCTGTGGAGATGAGAAAAAATTACAAGCATGTCATTTCAAAAGAGCAATTGGTGTATCAACAGAAAAAGTTGTTTTTGGGGCATGTAAAAATGATAATAATACTAGAACATATTGCTATGATACAATATATCAACAATTGTATTATTATCGGTTGTTTTAAACAGATACAACACCATTTAATAAATTGGAATTACATAATATTTCAATTCATTTAAAAATAACAACATATCATAATTCAACACGAGAAAACACAATAAATTTACCAACACAGAGAGGCAATACAGTCATTACTCCTTTATTAAGTCCAATGACAATTCAATTTCATATTGTAGAAATTTGTAATCCAGATTTAGCAAAAAAAGAAGTTGTTATACTTGATGATATTTTACTTGATAAAGATCTTAAAAAAATACAATTTAAAAATACTATAAAATCTCGTCTAAAAGAAACATTAACTATTGAATGTGCAGATTGTGAATTTACATTTGATGAAATTATCATATGTTTTAATCTTGATAAATTACATGTTTGTTTAAATTCTGCAGAAGAAGATGAAATGAGAATATTTGATAAAGCAAATTTTGCATTTTTGATGATTGTTGATTATATGAATTGGATGTATCAATTTAAACGTAAAAATACAAATAACAATGATGGTGAAATTTATCTATTGAGAGAAAATTTTAATTTACTAAATAGTAATTCGGGTATTTCAGCTTTTTTTAGTGGTGGATATATCGAATATGCTTGGAGACCTGATATGAAAGATGAACCTACTTTAATTCTTTATTATTAAAAATCACTGAATGTTGTAAAAAAAAAGATGATATTGAACCATAATTTAATTTATTTTTATTTATATTTAGTAATATTATTTATTTATTAAAATTTTATAAATATAACGGGTTTCTTTTTTATTTAATAAATAAAATGATTTCAAGAAAATTTCTTAACAAAGTAGATACATG